GAGCTTTTTGCTAGGAATTTGCTATGTTTCAAGTTGTATTGTGGATTGATACCAGCTAATCGATAAAAGAGAACTGGTAGAAGTTAAAATTCATGGGGCTGTCACTGAGTCATCTCCCAGCGGCTGAACGGTCAACCAGCTTGTCTTGTAACCAGAGGGTCCTGGGTCCGAAACCCGGTGGTTGTGTACTGCTAATGAGTCCCGAACTAGGACAAAACAGCTATTCAGTATTCCCTGCTTCCCAGTGATTCTCTTACTGATAATAATCCGTAATAAAACTTGAAATTTTGAAGTATATTATACATATTTACATTTATGATAACTTATGTGATGTTTTAGGCCGTTATCAGATAAAGAAAAGCTGTGAATTAAATTCACCCCTTTTCATCCTGCAAATATAACATGTTACCTGTTAGCTGCAGTGTAAAACAAATAAGCACACTTTTTGAAATCAAGATAAACTGAAAAATAAACTGTTAATTAAGAACTAATTGAACAGAATTTTACTTTTTATCCAACTAAGGATTCCTTTTATCGTTGGTTGTGTAACTCATGTCAGCTTATGATCTCAGTTGAAACAAATTAAATATCTGCCAACTAACACTTAAAAATTAATCCGATGGTCATCAATGACTGAGTACAGGGTGGACTTCCTGGAGTTCTTATGGGGGGATCATGGCCAGTGGTGTCCAAAAAGTTATGTGTGAAGACGAATAATTCCCAGTGACATTGCCTGAAGATAGCACTATCTATCACGAGCTGACGGAAGCTAGATTTCATGGATGATTGAATTCCATCCCAGTAAGCAAATGATCAACGAGCTCGCTTAGTAACCTGAAGGTCCCGGGTGCGGTCCCTTACGAGGTCACAGGTGAAGCGTACCAAACGATGACGAAACACCTATCCAGTACTTCCTGGTTTCCATAGGTTCTCTAATTGATATCAGCTTATGAGCTAACTTCAAACCAATCAAATCGCTGCAAATCCACATTTAAAAATTTGGTAAAATAGGCTGTCACCTAATTCTTGGTTCAGCAGGAATTCTGGCTTTTTAATCTAGAAAGAAACTTCGCTTATCAGTGGAATACATGAAAAATGAAAGTTTGAGGAAGGTATCACATTAGTGTCGTATTACTGTATATTAAGTCTGTTAAGTCAGGAAAATCACACGAAGCTATTACTCTGTGACAAAGCACAATGTTTTCATTCATCTCAAGCATCTCTTAGTTCTTAATTTTTGTAATTAACTGCAAATGACATAAAAGATCGTATAACCTTTACAAATTATATCTTCGTAAGCATATGAATAAACAGAGAATCTGTCAACCATATGAGTTAAATACGCACTTAAATAGTAAGCCTATGGTTTGACATGAATAAATATATGTATATATAATGGCTTAGAATTACGTCGAAATCTCAGATGACTAAAATTCAAGGCTTTTATAACATGAGAAACTATCAGAAGAATATTAAGCTACTATTTCTGTAGGCTTTGACGATCAATAAATACAAAATAATCGAGCAAATAATATTTTTTCGATAAATTCCTCTTCCAGGCTCGATTATTTTGTGTTTTATAGATGTCTGAATGAATATTTTTGCAATAAATAAATATATATATATATATGCCTAACATATTTAGGCATTGAACTAGAAGATATACAATTCCATATTAGATAACTTTATTTGATGTAACGCATAATGCGAGATACTGCATGTCATAGCGGTTAGGACGCTCACCGACCATGCATATGGTCCGGGCTTCGTATCCCGGCCGGCGCACTCCTTTACCTGACTAAGGCAGAAATAAAGCTGGTGAAGAGGAAAGGTTGAGCATGAGGCTAGTAACCCCATCCCTTAAAATAAACACTGCTACAGAAACTTCAAGCCACTAGCTTGAAGCCCTATGTTCCACTGGGAACGTTAAGGAATAAAAAAATAATGCGAGATACAGTGTTAATAACTGGATGAGCACAATTTTATTACTCATAATAATTAATATCAATGTATTTGCATTTCATGATAACTTCCTTTATGTAACTTTACAGTAAGCACTTATGAATATTGTATCACTGTGTGTTACATCAGATAAACTCACCTAATATGCATATTTAAAACAAACTTCAAATGGTGATGAATCGCTCGTATCTCAAAAATCGTAACTTTAAGACCATGCACTACCACCTGCGATGTTAATCACAGTTCATGAATAATCCGCATTCAGACAATAATGAAAACAAAACACATAGTTCAGCGAAGAGTCTCTTTTCGGTGAATTCATTCACTTAGCTCTACAATCGCAGTTATATATACTTATTTTTGTATGTGTTGTGTACATTAATAAAGTTTGTCCGATAAGAGTAAAAATACGCTAGGGTAATTGTTGTCAAGACATTTCAAAAATTTGATGAGTAATCGAACTGTAACTGGGGGCGTGATGAATATTGGTAAGAGGGTGGTGGTGATGGGTTGTCAGAAAAACATAGTTACTCATGTTAATCAGCACATAAAAGAAGTTGAATAGGCGTAATACATTTACGTAACAAGATGAATAGTTTAATGAGTGAGTTATGAGTAGGATGTACATAGAAACAAAAAAAATACGGAATTATGTAAGAGTTCTAGAAATTATAAATGTTATAAGGAGTTTGAAGAAAAAAACAAGCACACAAACATCAAGTCAGTAGCAGTCAACGTAGTTATTACCATGATAGTAGAAGTGGTTGGCTGATTTTCTTTTGTATACACAACCATGGTTTTTCGAGCTGTATGACTAAGGCTTCAGCAACACAAAGGAGACGAAAGAGTATTGTCTTTGGTAGGTTATTCTTCACTTTATAGATCACTTTGAAGGAGGCATTTGTAGGGATGGAATGACTAGTATTGACGGGATATTCGATTATCTCACTTTTTATTCACTCGCTATTACCTTTTCGCAGCCATGCAGGATAGTGTTCTTGAACCATTTTTGTATAGGGTACGCGACGAACGAATAAACAAACTTAATTCACACACACAAATACAAGGATAAGTATATATAATTGGGATTATACAGCTAAGTGAATGAATTCGCAGAGAAGATAATAATAATGTTGTGATAAATATACATGCCTGGCACTACAAAGTCGCATTAAATAGGTTCCTCATGTCCTAACTTTGTGTAAGCTAATTGGTTTTAGGAGCTTTGATTGCTTTATATTTAGCGGAGTTTGCCTATTTCACTCACCTAGCCAGCATGGTTTCAACTAAATGCATCACAGACGGAGATGTCAAAACCAACATAGGAAAAGCCTTGCAGATATTGATTACTTTGAAATAAATGTGGAAACCTGTTGCATTAAGCATAAGAAACAAGATTCTGATTTTTAACACTAATGTCAAGTCAGCGTTTGTATATGGTTGAGCGTGATCGAAAGCATTTCGAACAGCCTGCTGCAGACTTTCGTCAATAGCTGATCGAAAGAGGTAAACAGAAGGAGATTCTGGCAGTGTAATGAAAGAATCAAGAATCTATCGCCTAATAAATATCCAGAAGGAGAACAATATAGACTAGACACACACTGAGGAGATGACTCAGTAACATCATGTGCTAGTCAGACCTTCAAATGAAACCCGAATTGGAATCGACGAGTTGGATGTCCCATAGTGACATGGAAGAGATCGTGTAAGGATGAAATGAGAGCTTATGGGTAGTCGTGTAGCCAGATAAAAAAGACTGCAGAAAACAGGATGGAATGAAGATACGTTGTTAAAGCCCTGTGTTCCACTGGGGACCCAAGGGAATAACAATGATATAATAATATGAAAAGAAACATTATTCACAGAGTACACAGTTGTGCAAATGCATAAGGATTGTGGTTAACAAAAAGAACATGATTTATTATCAAAGTAAACACTAATACTCAACCATTAATTAAATACAAGTGATAGTTTACAGTAAGTTATCAGTCAGTTTCTCCATTACCACGTTACAGCGTTTTGACCCATAAACTACTGATAAAGTTAGACATGAGATGGACAATCCAAAACAATTTACACTCTTAGATTTATGTTCTGTACAACCTTTATTTGAGAAGCATTTTTTCAATAAATAATTCCGAAACGCTCATTATTTCCTGTCGCTAATGATACTCTAACCTGGTGATCCTTTTTCACTCAATTCACAAAGGTTCTCCACTGGAAAAAGGTGTCGTTACGTACCTCAGACAACTTGGTCAAAAAACGGGTTGGTGGTGATAAACAGTGAAAGCCAGGATGCACATCTCATTCTATCGGGAACTTGTGAAACTGGCATACCTGCATCTTTCACAATATGTATCTCACTGAGGCGTGAATCCTGCACCCATGAGAGTTGTGACTAAACAAAATGTGTTTCCAACAGCGGGGAGGAAGACCTCATCTGAGTGTCTGTGATGACCTGATATATTCTAAACCATATTTCAAAGCATGGTAGAGATTCTTCAACGTATATAATTTCCAAAGCATTTACTATTCTTGCAGTATCTTCAAGCAAAATAGTATACCCCCTGATGTTATGCTGTTCCGTTTGGGACAAGATCTAATCCTGTACAACAATTTTCTATTCGTTTCCTCTTAGAAGTGCACAGCATTATGTGGACGTTTGATTAGAAAGTGTGCATGACTTCCTCTAGCTTTCCAAAGACACAGCTGAATGATTAGCACGATAAGAAATTCTAGAGAGTTTATGCAAACTACTATGGAAATAAAGTGATTTAGGCAGACCTCCGAATTACTTGGAGTAAGCCGGAAATGATTGTCTGGAATTAAGATTGTTTACCTTAGGCTTTATCAATTAAGTCACTTTCCTATCAGATACTAATTTCACTTTGACCTCTGAAGTTTATGCTTGACACACCACAGCCAATGACTATATATATATATATTATATATAAAAATTGCAATGCCATAAGCTAAAAATTCGTGCTGACCTTCTATAACATCAATTTGAATAAATAAAGCAGCAAAACTATACTTACTTTCAGTATGATCTAATTCAAAGGTGAAATTTGCATGTGTTCTTCAGAATCAAATGAAGTAGTAAGGGTATTTAAGGGTATACAACAATTCATTTAGTCTCAACAAGTGAAGCAATCAGTCTAAAATTCATAAAATCCATGTTAAACCTCTTCATCATGTTGTATGTATATTGTTAAAATCTTTTGTTAATTGTGTAAATGATGAAAAATGAAAATTATGTAAGGCATGTTCATATTGATAAACTATTATAGAGAGAGAGATAAGTGCATTTCAATCAATTGTGATGTAATCCAAATTCTCACTAGCGTAATTATTTCATGTCACATACATTCACACAATGGATGATGATGAAGTCAGTATTTATGACTCCTTTTTAATTGGTAGTTCCAACGACCAATCATATTCATCCATGAGTCTATGGTGTAAAGTCACTGACTACAGTGATTGGTCAAATGAAATATATATATTTATAGATATATAAAGAGAATCTGCGAAGAGGAATCAGACAATTTTCTCCGAGCTAATAATGATAAAATTAAAAACTTTATCTGACAGTTAGTTAATATCATGATGTGAGTTATACAGCTAAGCAGTTTGCTTTACTACCGTCTATTAAGTGTGTCTTGAAGCCACATTGATGGCTAAAAAAGTTACCCCACAGCTTAAATTTTGAATATAATTAGATGCAAGCTTCCGATACTTGTATGAGAAGAGAAAAACGATCGGAAATAAGAGTTTATTATTTATCGTTATATATATTTTTTTCCTTCACGTTCCCCAGTGGAACATAGGGCTTCAAGCCAGTGGCTTGAAGTTTCTGTAGCAGTGGTGATTATTTTTACAGGATGGGGTTACTAGCCTCATGCACAGCCTTCCCTCTTTACCAGTCTTACTACTGGCTTAGCGAGATGAAGGAGTGCGTCAACAGGGGATAGAACCCGGGACACCTGTGTGGTCGGCGAGCACTCTACCGCTGTGCCAGAGACGCGCTAATTAATGTAATACTGATATATAAAGACGACTAGTAAAACACTGGACCAGCCTCGAGGCTGTTCCCATAGAATTTAAAGCAGGGAAATCTCTGAAGTAAATTCTCAAGCTGTACAGAATTATTTTGCAGTTTTCCTCTAATGAAAACTTCCGAAAAATAAGGAAACAGCGTGATGTGATGCAACAGAGTTAAGTAACAAATGGAACGAATGAACAAATTAAGACGTAGTGAATTTTGGTACAAATAGTCAAGAGATTCTTATCTTCAAATTCAAGCTTGTTTGTGAATTTCAAATTAGTGATTAGTGAATAAAGAATATTCTTTTATTTTGAATAAAGAAAGAACAAACATATTTGCAAGACAATACGAGTTCGTTTCATTTCGTGGATTCTCTTCAACTGCCTACATCCTAAATAAATCAATTACATGTTACAAAATAGTGTCTGAACATACGCCTTACAGTGACTTTAAGTTATAGATAGAAAGTATAAGCAACATAATTTCAAAGATGATGTGAGTAGACAATTATTTAGTGTTAAAAGTGTAACTACTTATTTAGTAATTAGACAAAAGGGTGGACTTCAGATTTCTCTTGGAAACAAGGATGAACTAGAGACAAATAGAAGATAGAACAAAAGCGTTAATTTATACATATTATGGTGGAGAGTTGAGGAGGGTGGGGGTGAATAGTGAAGTAAAATTATAAAATACATAAAATAATTTAATTTAGTAGATTTCGAACCTTAATAGTGAGTTCAAGTCAGTGGGTGAAAATCAAGATCAAGATTGAGTGGAATGTTGTGCAACAGAACAAAACACAAAAGCACACGAACAAAACAATTATGATTACTACGGTAGTGAGAGATTAGCCACACTATCTTTCTGTGTACACAGGCTGGATCGAAGTCTTTTGATGGCCATGGCTTGTGCGAACCGAAGTAACCATGCATTTCTTTGTGTATTGATTATTTTGAAAGACTGACTAATTTCCACAATGTATCCCGTGTCAGTTAGGTGTCTGGCGATTGCGCTTGAGAACACTTTGCTGCCTTTCAAACAGAGACTTTTGGGGATATGCTTAGAGAATCTAGTAGATGCTCTCTTCACAGTCCTTCCTATTTACTTGCTGCTGCAGATGCAGGTGAATCGGTAAATGCAGTTGGAGCTGACATGCAGAGCAGGATACTTATCTACTTTAGACTGGGTTATCAAGCGTATTGTGTTGTAAAGTGGAATGAGTCTAGAGGCGAGAAATGTTCTTCTTAGATATCTTCTTCATCAGGTTCTACAGTTATATATCCATAACAGTTAGGCAGTATTTTCAAATATTTATTCCCTTTCATGAATTTGCGTAAATCAAGGACAACAGTTTGTTCAGAATAAAATGGTACGATCCTTAGGTGGATATCGCAAGATCCTTCAAAATAATCAATAGACAGAAGAACCCTATTCTCCTAAAGTTTACTGAAGTAATCATCCATCATCAAACACCCGAAATCTGATTTTTGTGTTCAGAAGGAAGCGGTTATCAGTCTTTCCTTGCCCTGGTAACTGGATGCCTTTATTCCCTCTTTCATTCGATTACGTGACGTTGAAAATTCTATTCTGTACGATTGTTATTTTTCGGACCAAAGTGATCATTATTATTATCATTGTATGCATACACTGATACCTCGTTTAAACTTGAACTCTCTGGATAAGTATGTCAATATCGTTTCTGTACATAAACTTAAGAATTTCTTTAGGCTGTAAGCAGCTGATGAGAAGTCAACGAAATAACTGATGGTATCATTTTATTCTGCACAAACTGATGTTCTTACTTTATTTAAATAATAATTACTAGTGGAAATATTAGTGTTCTATAAATAACGTCAAATCACTAACAGTAAAATTCCAGGAGTTATATGCACACAGATCATTATTAGATAATAGTTCAACACATGTAATAATATGCATAAATGTAGCACTGAACTGAACACCAGTATTCCAAAGTAAATGATCATACATCACAACGAATATATATATATTTGGTTATGGTTATATGTTCACGAATAATGTTCATATTGAAGTCAACTCATACTGATTATAAGCTTCATATGGATGAATGATAATATCTAAACCAGGGAGTATATAACTTTGTAATTTTCCTGTCAATGATTCCATGTTATCTATAAAAAAACATGAGTGTTGTCAATTACAATAATTCTTTCATTATTATATATATATATATATGTAACTGTAAAACCTGATGTTGAAGAAATTATAGACAGGAATAAGTGTATGTTTGTGAAAATTAATTCGCAAATTTAGTACAAGCTTTAATTGTCAACAACACAAGAAATTTGTGTGTGTTCATAAAGTGCATGTCATTCAGTGAAATTCAGTTCTACAGACCAATGCCTCAAATTCAACACCATTCATTCTGTGTCGTGGAAAAGAAGTATTTTTAGGCAAAGAACCTTTTAGGAGGCCCCAAGATACAGTTATAAAATGTATGTTAATAGCAGAAAAATGATATAACTGTTATAACATGCTGCATAAAATGTTTTTGGCCCTGACGAAAGAAATAGTGTTCACAAGAAAATCTGGATCCAAGTTTCAGTTATGTTTAAGACTATGTTCAAAGACACTGATCAGCTGTACTGCTGAACAAACACAGACGTCATTGAAAACCAAGGTGGACTGATCAGTTATTTTATCCTAGCCTGGAAATCTTAAGCAGTAGGGACTCATAAGCCAAGAAGGGATGGGACCCAGGCTCTTCAGGTCACAAGTCGTACTGGTTGACTGTTTACCTACCGGGAGAGAATTAAGTGACCCATGAAGTCTAACTTCTGCCAATTCACTATAATTATCGTAACCGCCAGAGAATGTCACTGGCGAGTAACTGTTCTCAAACTCAGCTTTGAGGACCCTGCTGTTCATTACCTCTCACTAGAACTGTCAGTACTAACTGGTTTTCTTTGGTTCTCTAACTGAAGTCAGTTCATGACTGAAACACGAAATAATTAAAATTCCTTCAAACCAATATTTGAATATGCAGAAGTATCTTATTTTTCATAAATAGGAGCTTTATTTTCCGTTCTATTGCATCGTTTTAATCGTCGTTTTCGCACTGAATATGCATGAATGTAAAGAACAAAAAGTCACTATGTCCTGAAAAACTACCTAACATTATCATTTATGGAGGGGTTCTTTAAATAGATTATTTTTAAGCACAGATTTCTATGAAAATGCGTAAACGAACTAATGGTGTAATGCTGCTCACTACAAATTCAAGAGTAGCCTGTTGTGTCAAGCCTATATATATCACACTGATATGATTTATTATTATTATTGTTCCCTTGGGTTCGAAGTGGAACATAGGGCTTCAACAACACATCTACACTTTGTTCTATTTTCTGCTATCCTCTTCAAATTGGTCCACTATTGCCCAAACTCTCTCATCTTATCCTCACATGACCTTCTCCATGTAACCCTCGCACTTACCATCCACTTGTCGCTTCTCATTTGGATTCTACTCAAGGGTCTAGCGCACGATGTCATTCGAAAGCCTCCTCAATGCATGATCTATCCATCTCCAGTTTCCTAGAGTTTCGCGTTACTTATTCTTTCTGGCCATCTGATCTACAGTATTGCGCCAGCGAAGGCAACTGTTGATGAAAGTCTGCAAGCTGTTGGAAATCCTTTTCGTGACACTCTGGTCAAGTTTCTGACCCGTATGGAAGGACCGACTTGACATTGGTATTGAAAATCCGAATCTTTTGCTTTATGCTGGCTGAGTGATAGCAGAAGATTTCTCAGCTGGTTTCAGTTTGATGAAAGCGTATCTTGCCTTTCCGATTCTGGCTGTCTTTGACATCTTCGTCCGTTCTGCCTGTAGTTGAAACGATGTTAGCTGCCTAGATACATGAAGGAAGTAACCTCTGTCAAATTTCTCCAGTTGATGGTGATTGATGCTGGTTGCTGCTGTTGCTGTTCGTTGGTTATCTTCACCACCCTCGTGCCCTCTACGTCCGCTGGAGTCTTGTCTTCGCTGCCAGCCTCCTATGCCAGTTAGCTGGTTTTCGCCTGCAAGTCTTCGAGTATAAGTGACTTTAGACGTATATCATCTGCGAAATCCAGATCTTCTAGAGTCTTATTATCGGTGGTACAGCGTATTCCTGTCTCCTTGCTCCCATGCACAGTTTGACGCATAATGCAGTCCACCACAATTAAGAATATCATCGGTGATAATAGTCAGCCGGAACTGTTTTACTCCTGTATTCACTTCGAACGCCTCGCTGACTTTTATCATGTAGCTAGCTATCGAATGAGGTTGATAAAGACTTGG